TTACTGCAAGGTCTCTCACAGCTTTTAATATGCTAATGTGCACTGTATATTTCTTTGAGGAGACTTAGGGTATAATATGTTCCAGATTTATTTGCTCATGGAACATTTTTCCTTACATATATTAACATCTATAATGTACTAATGTTTCAGAAACCCAGTAACTTTAGCATGGAAAATTTTTAAGCAAGGGCTACAAATACTACTGCAGCCATTTTTTAGAAGTTAGCATCTAATTTTAAGCAATCACTTCCTGAAGAAATGTCCAGAATAAACTTGCTATAAAATACACCCATATAAAAGGCCCAATTAAGTACTAGAGGAATTTTGCCCAAAATAATAAATTTAGTTTTGGTGTTGTTGACCTTAAACCCCTCTGGCAAAATGATTAGCTATCAGTTGTCAATTGAAAGACTCCAAATTTATGCCAAGGAAGTGTTCATCCAAATATAAGCAACGTTTCTCTTCCTGTTCTCTGCAAGACATCCAGCTCATCCAGAGGTGGTATCAAGGCATTAAAACACAAGCTAAAAAAAAAAAAAAGATAAGCTTAGACTGAGTTCCCCAGGAAGTGGAATCAGACAGACTTGTGTGTAGGAGGATTTACTGGGGAGAGCTCACAGATCAACACCTATAAGGGAGCAAAGGAAGCAGCACTGGGGGTAAGTGTTTAAATGTGACTCAGTCACAGTAGAGACCTCACCAGATCCTCTGGGGAGATCTGGAACCAGGGAGGACCCTAGGGGGTTATCCAGACTTAAGACAAGAGGACTAGACCTTTATATCCTCACAACAAACCAGTGCTTGCTAGCTGCCCCAAGGAAGAGGCATGACCACCAGGGGGACAGGGGAGTCCCCTGGTTGAGATCATTTTCACAAGGAGAATCAGCTGAAAGCTATCAGCTACCACTTTGCTCAGAAAGGAGACTGAGCATTTGAGACCTGAAGAGGGCACTGCACAGCACCTAAGTATCCACAGCAACCAAAACATCACAGTCTCAAACTCAAAAGGAGTGTCTAACTTACAAGAAACCATTTCTACCCAATCTTACTTACATGCTCTGTTTAAGAATCAGTAGCCAAAGGCCTAGAATGCTTTGTCTGGAACAAGCGATCACAAAACTGCACTAGAAATTACAAATAATCTTACATGGCTAGTAACACATTTATTTCACAGGGTAAACAGTACAAGAAATTCGCTGACTAATTTTGTCATGACTAGAAACCTGAGCAATAATCACCTGGGAATATCACATATGTTTAAAGAGGAACAGAAATCTCTAAAATAATTTAGCATCAAAAAAAAAATTAAAGTAAATTTTCAACAGTGCAGCATTTAAATATTTCTCTTTGCCCTCTCTTTTCTTTTCTCTCTAATGAAATTAAATTATTGCCCTGGACAAATAAATGAAAAAAAGGGAGAGATCCTAACTCTTTCCTTGATTCTCCTTTTTAACGTATGCTAACAATTTAACTAAGGATCTTCCTTTTTGAGACTCCACACTTGGTATTAAAGATGTAAAGATGAATGAGAACTTTATTATGCAACAGAGAGGTCACACATGCAAACAAGTCATTATAAATCCACCACACATCCACTCAATCTAGTACATCTAAGCACCAACCCCGTGCCCAACCATGACCAAGCTGGACACAATTCCTTCCTTTGTGAAGCTTACATGAAATAGGATGAGTGATAACATGAAAGACTGCAGAAGATGCTGTAGTTTTTGCCTTCACTGGGGAAGGATGGCATCAGCAAACTTAATGATAGTAAGCTTAGCCAAGCATGTTGGTACATACCTATAATTGGAGATCTCAGGAGGATCCCAAGTTAAAGGCCATCCTGAGCTACACAGTGAGTTCAAAGACAGCCTGGGCTGCATAGCAAGATCCTATCTCAAAATTAAAAAAGCTAAGCTTAGTAATAATAGCAACTTATATTTGTGTGTTTATCATATGTCAAGCACATCTTTAAACTTATTTAGCTTTCAAATTAATTCTCTGAGGCAGCTATATTGCTAATAATGTTCCCCATTTACAGATAAGGAAACTAAAACACAGATTAAATACCTTAATCAAGTTCCCACAGAAGGTAAGTGGCAGGCCTGGGATTCTTAGAGGAGATAACTCTGGAATTGAGCCTCAAAAGCTAAGTGGGAGTTTTCCAGATGGATACAAAAAAAGGCAGGCAGGGGGTCGGGGTGGGGGTGATGAGAGCATTCTAGACTCAGGGAACTGCAAGGACCAATACATAAAAATGGTCAGAAATATATATGTTCTGGTTATAGGTAGGCTGCTCATGGGAGAGCAAAAATAGTGCAGGCCTGAAAAGAAGGGGCTCTGGAGGATGAGCAAACTAAGAAAGTAGTCATACACTCCACAAAGAACAGACTGAAGGAATGCAGGCATGGGAGTGATGCCAGTTTTGTTATGATCTCAGTAAGAATATTAATAAAACAGCTAACATGCACTGAGAATCCCATAAGACAGATGTGGACTAAATATTGGCACACGTGAGCTCATTCTTGCTTCCCTACCATCTAATGAGGAAGGAAGGCATTATTCTTACAAGGGAGAATGCTGAGCTTTCAAGGGAGCTAGCTGCCAGATTGTACGGAGTCCTGCTGCTTAGGAGTTATAATAGAACTGGGACTCCAAACCAAGGAGCTGTGACTCCTAAGCCTATGCTCTCCATTTCCTGTTCACAGTGCATGCATTTGATGCAGAGGGACAGTAGGATGGTGAGCAGGTGATGAGGGGGGACTGATGCACAGCCAGGAGGCTGCCGAAGTCCCCTCTCAACCAAAACCATCTAGCTGTGGGTTAGGAAACAGAGAGGTCCAGAGAAAAGCACTGGAAACTTAGCAAGATCTGGCAGAGAGAAGGAAGGAAAGAAGGGTCATAGATTACAGTCAGCTGTCTAAAGAGATGGTTTTATGAACCAGGAGAATGGGTGGGGATAAGCCCTGAGAGCTAGGCAGGGAATGGAGAATGATAGAAAATGCTGAAGTCAAGGTCACCTAGGCTGGAAGAATCCAGACAGTAGTGGACACTTAGATCTGGAACTAAGGAAAAAAATTTCTATTATGGTATAAATAAGGCCACAAACATGTTGAAATCCTGAGAGGGTGAATTGTCTAGGGAAAAGTCAATAATAACGAAGAGAGGTGATGGCTAGAAACCCAGAAAACCCCCACTATTCAGGAAAGAACCCATTTTCTCATCTGTAAAACTAAGGAGCTATTTCTGCCTTAGAAACCTTCTAGGGAAATGTCTTCTTTTACATACAAGACATGTGACCATTAGAGTTATTTCTGAAAAAACAACTCATTCTCTACCTCATGTCAAGTTTTGAATTAACTTCTAGGTGGCATATTTCTGATTTTAAAAAAAGGCTAGCTAAATGGTGTATATATTTAATAATGATGTATATAAATATATTTAACTACGTAAAAATAGTACTAGTAGTTGATCAGATTTCCTGGCTATTCTGAGCCCATGTTGCCTATGTCAGTAAATTCACTTGGACAGAACATCATTGTCTTTGGATGGAAGGTCCGTATGCTTACAGTTCCGAGGACATACCATTTTCTAGCCTTATTTATATGTTTTGTCTTCATCCTTAGCCAAAAAAAAAATCACCATACAGCTTATCTGACTTACCAGGAATCTGTACCATAGGTCATTTCTCCACTTTCTTTTTAAGGCAAACGAGAACTTCTTAATGTTAACATATAGCAAAAAGGGCGGGGGTGGGGAGCTTGCTTGGTACGCCCTCCCTGGCTGTTGCTACCTTGCAGCTTTTGACACAAGATAGAAAAAGGTCTGATGAAGTGACAAGGCAGTCAGAGAGCTGAGAGCTGTTCCATTCCCGTGGAAACCCAGAGCCCCCATGCGCACACAGCGCTTCCTACTTTCCTGTGTGGCTGGTTCTTTTGTGTGACTTTGAGATTTCTCAATGTGTGCCTGCTGAATGAGGCGCGTCGCACAGGGAGGGAGAACCCAAGCCAAGGGAGCTGTGGCAGAGGAAGCCAACACAGACCTCACAGTGCTGGAACTGGCTCGACTCATGCATGCAGTTTTTGAAGTCGGCAAAACAGAAATCAAATTACTATCCTATTATGCTGCTGGAAGCTCAAGGAGAGGGGAGTCTACACTGGCTTAATTACCATGCGAGATGCAGCGACTCACAGAATAGCCAAGTATGTCTACTGTGTGGACCCTGGAGGCACATGTAAGTTTTCTCGCTGCTGCTGTGTTTTATTGCTGTGTAATTTTCTTTCCGGTTGGAAATCATGCTTGGTCAAAACATAATCATTTCCATGAGAATTTCTGGTGTAGAAAGTTGTCTGCGAATACTCAGGACTTTTTCTTTCTCCTCTTACTAACTAAGCAGCATAAGACAAGCTGAAATTCCTAACGGCAGCTGCGGCAATTCAACCTAAGACTGAGAACTGAAACCCAGAGTGTATCCAATTACTATGGGATTAACAGGGGATGTGTTTGTAATTGACTTTCTTAATGGAGACGGCACACATCCCTGCTGGTTTTGGACTGCATGCTATTTTAACGTTGCTGTGGCTAAACTAGTGATCGGCACATCCAACCGGAGATATAACTAAACAAGATTCCTAGTAGTTACAAAACTTTTCCTTCTCTGGTCAGGACCACATTTGTCTCCCTGAATGCTCAAACTCTGCAACATTTATGTTCAGAGTTTATTCTGTTTTTTTGTTTTTTGGTTTTATTTGTCTTTGCTTTTGGTGAAAAAAAAAAAAAAGAAATCCAACAGTGGACTCTTACTAACATGGTGAAGGAACTATAAAGAGCCTTTCTTTCACTATTATTGTGACAATGGGAGAGAAAAAGGCAACCAAGAAACCCCACTTGCACACCAGCTTCTGCACAGCAGAGCCTGGGGACAGAAAGATGAATGGTGATCAGAGGTTATAACTTGTTAGTTTTTCAACACTTCATCTGCTACAAGTTCCAGCTTAGACATGGATATCCTTTGTGAAGAAAATATTTCTTTGAGCTCAACTCCGAACTCCTTAATGCAATTAAATGATGACTTTAATTCCGGAGAAGCTAACACTTCTGATGCATTTAACTGGACAGTAGATTCTGAAAATCGAACCAACCTTTCCTGCGAGGGGTACTTCCCACCAACGTGTTTCTCCATACTCCATCTGCAGGAAAAAAACTGGTCTGCTTTATTGACAGCTGTAGTGATTATTCTAACCATTGCTGGAAACATACTCGTCATCATGGCAGTGTCCCTAGAGAAAAAGCTGCAGAACGCCACCAACTATTTCCTGATGTCACTTGCCATAGCTGATATGCTGCTGGGCTTCCTTGTCATGCCCGTGTCTATGCTAACCATCCTGTATGGTGAGTGGCATTCCTTTCCCAGTTGTACCCACGATAGTCACAAAAAGCATGTGCATGTCCTTAGTGGCTGAAACAGGGCTCAGGGGCAAACAGGAAATAGAAGGCTTTGTTTATAGACGAAAATCTACCATGGCATGAATTTTAACTCTTAAAATGATAATTAATTTGAAAGATGCAAGCAACCTATTATCTGTGGAGAGTTTTGTGCGTTAAAAATACATATTTTATATAAAGAGATAATTACAAAGTTGTGCTTTAAAACATAAGTTTTCTGTAGAAATAATTGCGAGTACCTCAGTGCTGTCATCAAGGAATAACTTACCCATTATTCTGACTCCACTTGACTTTTACTCCTTTGTATTCCCACCTAAAAATTCCAGGCTCAGGACAGACAATTTTATCTTTATCACACAGTTTTCAGCACTTCTAATGGAGTGGTAAAACCTTCCCAATTTCCTTGGAACATTTGCAGAGAGAACATTAGTGTGGTGGAATGTGTTTGGTGTTAAAATATTTAGTCGCCATTAGGATAAATTAATTACTCCAGTTTTAATTGTCCCCTGACCAGAGAAGCTAATTTGGAAATGTGCCTTTGAATTACATTCTCGACTCTTCAAAAAACTGCATACGCATAAATAAACTCCAGTCTGATTTGGAGGAGGGTAAAAACCAATGCAAACAGATTTAATCCTGCTTTCTTCTCAACCGAGTTCCACTCAGTGAAATCTCTGAGCAAGTCTGCAAACATTGGGACGGCTTTATCGGGGAGCAGAATGGGATCTTCCTTCCGAATTATGAGTAGGATAGCCAGATTTCTCCTTACAGAGAGAGCAAAGGAGAAAATACTGAACTGTTCCCATAGGCGGTCAGCAATTACCCAGAGCTTAGAGTTGGGTTTTAAAGGCTACCTTTAAGAGGGGATTTTTCCGGTCAAGTATATCAGAGGCTAAAACTAAAAAGACTCCGCGGAGCCCTGAGAGCGTGAAGAAGGAGGTGAAGGAGAGGGAGCAGGCATCCGCCCTTTCTTGCTAACGCTCACTGCGAGCCAGCCCCTGCTTGACCATTCAAATGTCACAGCGGAATCATTCCATTAAATTCCCGTTATTTCCCAGACACTGGGGAGGAGTTCTCCTTTCCCAAAACCCAATCCTGCCCTCACAAGCAGGCAAACTCCAGTGGGGGGTGGGAGAGGTGACTGTGCAGGAACCCAAAGCTGCAGGAGTCCCTTGCAGAGAGGGTAAAAGAGCAGCAGGGCGGTCAGCTCCCCGCTCGGGTGCACGGCTGCCCCCTGGCGACGACTTCTGGGAGCGCAGCTCTCTGCTGGTCTTGGAGCCTTCTTCAGTCCACTTCCTAAGTGTCTCTATCTGATCCCCATGTGGAAACCCAGACTGAGGCCCCAGGCTCCTCCTTTCAGGGAAAGCCCCTTAAAGAGACAACACCAGTTCCCAACAGGCACAGCCTGCTTCCCTTCAGGGCTGCAAAAGAAAAGCCAGGTCCTTTCAGCTCAAGCTCTTTGCAAATAATTCAAGTGAAAGGCGATAGGTTAGACTGTGTTCTGAACCCATTCCTTTTTTAAATATCCCAGGTGGTAACCTGGTAGGGAGAGTACCTTCCCATATGGAGAGTTTGTCCTGTTTTGTGGTCTGTGCTATCTGGAAGAAAAGGTGATCTTTATATTTTCCTTCTCAAATACAGACAGATCTAACACCATTACTTATTCCGTTAGCAAAACTAATTAACAGTTTATGTAGACCTGTTTGATCCTCTTCAAAATTCACAGAAACAGGACACTTTGCTTGCACCCATAAGACATCTTCTATCTTCCAAATATAATAGGTGACCTGCTGTATTATGCTCTTTAGAATCTTTAATGTTTAGGGCCCATCTTTGGACAACCTCCATAGAAACTGGGCAGTTTAGTCTGGACATCGGGGCTGTCTCTAAAGCTTGTAGCTGGTTCTAAGGTGTGGCTAGGAGTGAGAACACTAAGAAGCCAGCCATTCTCCAAGTGTGATCCCTGGACCACCACCAGCAACACCGGGACATTTGGTTAGACATACAGATTTTCAGGCCTGCTCTATCTAGACTTATTGGATCAGAACATCCAGAGGTGGTCCAGCTGTGCCTGTTTTGAGAAACCATCTGAGACAGTTGTCTGTTCTCTCAGATTTTAGAACTACTTCCCTGAAACAAAACTCAGAAAGGAGCCCTGTGCTTTTCTTCATCTTCAGTTTTTCTCACACACTCCAAATTTGAGTTTAACACCCAATGCATTACTAGATAATTGTGTTTCATTTTTACAAATAGCGACATATTCCTAATCTAGATCTTTAATCTTTTAGTCACTTACACCAACACATTTTATTGCCATCACTGTGAGACTGGATAATTATAAGTATGACTAACATGGGGCTAACTTTAGGGACATAAAATCTGAGAATAATTGCATGAGTAAATATTGATAGTGCAGTGTGAGATGCTCCAGTAGGAGAGGTCAAAACAATCACAACTTTGAACATAAGTCATGTTTAAAAATGATTTTTCAAGATGGAGGGGGAAGGAAGAAAACCACTGAAAAGGAACAACCTGAGTTCACTACACTGATGTAATGCAGACACAAGAAATGTTGAAACCTGGACTCATCCAGCAAGTCAATCATATTGTAGTTAAGCACAGTTGCTATTTGTTTGTTCAAATGTTGGAAATTTCTTGTATTGACCTTTCCTGCTACCTGTGCCTGTCCCCAAGATGGAAATGGTTGTCCAAAGGTATAGTTCAGATGCCCCAGGATGCACAAGGCTGCTTGTTTACTGATGCTAAGTTTCTGCATCATAGGGTACAGGTGGCCTCTGCCTAGCAAGCTCTGTGCAGTCTGGATTTACCTAGACGTGCTCTTCTCCACGGCCTCCATCATGCACCTCTGTGCCATCTCACTAGACCGCTATGTTGCCATCCAAAATCCCATCCACCACAGCCGCTTCAACTCCAGAACTAAGGCATTTCTGAAAATAATTGCTGTTTGGACCATATCTGTAGGTAAGTGGGAACATCCGTCAGAGTCTCATTTGAAATAACAGCTCCTGCTTTCTCAAGAGACGTTCAATGTTTTTGCACTGAAACCTGACATTATGCATCTATTGTTTTATGTGTTACAAGCTATGTCTCAACATCACAATTATCAGATTTGCTTAGGAAAGGAAAATCTGATTATGTCACTGGCTGACAATATACATCTGTATTGTTTTGCACAGGTAAGAATAAAAACAAAAGTAGAGCCAAAAATCAGAAATAACTGAAATTTCTCTCACTTCCAAGTTCACTACTCAAAATCTTGGGTCGCTCAGAAACCTAAAGTTTTATAATCACTGGATTTGTGGTCAGTATAAAGACGCAGATCCTTGCAATAAAGAATATCAGGCCTGGTGGGTCTAAAGAAAGGTAGTGGGTATGAAACTCAAGGAAAATGAGGACAGAGAAAAGTGGTGGGCCTTGTTGAGGGGCAGGTATTTCAGCCTGCTCAGTGCCCTTCCTCCTGTTGTGACAGCACCCACCAAAGGATTTCCACCCACTTCAGATAGGCTGAAGTCTTGCCAGTATCAATCTTCTGTCACACACCTAACACTCAGGAAAACTCAGGTCAGGGAGGTAAAGGAGCAGCTCTCTAGCAACGAAGTCAACTGTACCTGTCACCTCAGCAGGCTTGGTTTGCAGCCAAAGATTCCCACAGACCTGTTGTTAAGTCTCAAAGCTTTGCAAGCAGAAACACTATGTTCTCTAAGGCCACTGGTACAGTATCTTCCTCCCTGGGGGACTATGGGATTTAATGGCAGGTTAAAATTCGAGTACTTGTGTGAGGTTACTCACAGCTTTGCAATAACTATACCAATCAGTAATAACAAACACAGCAATATAACATCTTGCCTTCAGTTACCACTGCTTCCTTTCCTCCTAACAAGTAACATGCAATTTGTAGAGTGGGTATCTCCATTTCAAGGTGCAATGAGAGACACACAGCCACTCAGGTGCACAGCAAGGTTTTTCCTTGATTCTGATGAATAAAGTAACAAGGTACATGTGCACAATTTCCAAACTTTTGATGTCTTATCAAAAGTTATCCGTCACATTGTCATTTGAGGTAGCCTGAGCATATGATCCTATTATGCTTATTGAGAAGTTAGGGAATCTGGACACAGGGGTCTTAATGACTTCCTAGGTTGCACCTCCTACATGCATCAGGGCCAGACTCTAAGTTTCTGGCACCACGCTGTACTCTTTCAGCTGCTAGGAAAGAATATTTTGCTCTAAGAAAATACTGGTGGTTCTGAGCCTGTGTGATCTATGACTCATTATAGATTACAGACAACATGAGCCAGAAATTCTCAGTTCCAGCTGTATATAAAACCATCTGATTTAATTTTGTCCAAGTTACAGCCAGAGTTGAGGACCACTAAGACAGAGAGAGAAATATGAAAAGCAAACAAGGGTCAAGTATAGTGCAAGTGAGGTGCAAAGCTATTGGTGAAGTTACACTATTTAACCCCTGTGGACTGTCCCATTGCTGATTTAGAAGAACCAGTCATCTTTGAGTCAATCAGACACACCACTCTCCCATCTTAGTCAAACTTCATAATAGCACCATTAGTAAAAGCTAAGTGTTCCTGAATAATCGCTATCAACCCTGCAGTGTCCAAATCACCTTACAGAAAGTCAGCTGCAGAGACACAACTTACACAGGATGACATCGCTTAGATCCAAGAGTCAATCCAGGTCAGTCTGACACCAAAGCCCAAGCTTGATCAACTGCCCACTAAGGCAGTCTGCCTCTGGACCTTGCTGGCTATCACTCCAGAGGCAGACAGCCTTGTATAGTTATGGCAGTTCTGTCCAAGGGTCATCATTCATCCATTTGACCAAAAAAAATTATTAGATATCTGCTATGTCCGTGGCACTGGATATAGTAAAGCTTTCCTTTTCTAAAGCAAATCTGATGAATAAGATATGTGTTCAATGATCTCTCACAGTGCAGAAGGTAGGTTAAAAAAAAAAAAACCCGTATCAGAAAAACAAAGTTTATATAGCATATATACCAGAAGTCTGATAGGTGTGTGACTGAGAAGGGAGTAGATGGGAAAGGTAAAGAAAGGAAAAGTCAGTTCTACTGAGGGACCTGAAGAAGTTACAAATATTTTCCTGAAGTTTCTTCTATGGCTCTGCTTCTAATTTTTTTGTTTTGTTTGATATGTGGGGTTTTGGTTTGTTTGTTTTGTGTAGGTGTTTTAAATTTAGATCTTCAGTCCAGCTGAAACTTTCTAAATTATCCAGTTTATTGAAGATATAATTGATACAGTGTAATTTTAAGATACACATTTGATATGCTTATATTCTGTGAAATAATTACTATAGTAAGTTAGTGAATTCCCCCATTTTACCCAGTTCCTTTTTGTTTTGTGGTCAGAACATTTAAGCAAATTTTAATGCAATTCAGTTTTATTAAATGTAGTCACTATGCTATACGTGAGGTCCCCTGAACTTATTTCTATTATATAACTGTACGTTTGTACATGTTGACCCACACCTCCCTTTTCCCCTCACCTTCCTGTCCCTAGTAAGCTATCACTGTACTCTGATTCTATGAAGTCAGCATTTTTAGACTCCACACTCAAGTGATGTCATGCGCAATATATCTTTCTCTGGCTTATTTCACTTAGCATCATCCCCTCAAGACTTATTCATGTTTTACAAATGGCAGAGCTTTCTTTTTTGGGGGAGGGTGCACATAATATGGAATTTATATTTGTATATGACCTAACTTATTTTACATTATCAACAAAGATTTTAGCACCTATTAATATAATCGGTTTCCGCCTTTGACTGATATACTGAGTTTTCTTGATAAATTTCTGAATATTGAAGACTTGTATTTGTAGAATATATTCACAAGTATTAGATTTGGATGACTTTTTGTTGGTTATTTTTACAAAGTTCTTCTTCTAGCTTCATTAAATGGATTTGAGAGGTTTTCAGTTTTTCCCCTAAAGTCTCTCTGTAAGCAGGAACTGTGTATTCTCGAAAGGAAATGTAGAACTTAAGTTCTAAATCACTCTCATCTTGATGCTTATTAAAATGGTACTTTTACTTACATCCCTGACCTCTTCAATAGTTATTCCATTTACCTGTTCTACCTCTTATTGGGTTATTAGCAACATTCAAATTTTAAGCTATCTTTTATGTTGATTATTTCATCTTATTAAGTGTTTTATTTTGTACCTAGTGATGTTTCTTGCCTTGAAAATTAACTCCAGCTGGGTACTGGTGACTCATGCCTGTAATTCTAACTACTTGGGAGGCTGAGATCAGGACAATCATAGTTAGAGGGGTTTGCGAGACCCCATCTCAAAAATAATCAGACTAAAAGGGACTGGAGGTGTGACTCAGTGGCAGAGTTCGCCTGCTTGGCAAGTGTGAAGCCCTGAGTTCACAAACAAACCCATCTGGTGTTAGTACAGTTATGCCACATTTCTTTTGATTGTCCCTTTTCTAGATGTACCTTATTTCACCCTATTACATTTAAACCTTGTAACTTTAAAGTGTGATGCCTGTGAGCAGTGTATAAAGTTCTGTTTTTATGCAATCAGTCATTGTCTTTTGATTAGAGAATTTGGTTCTTTGTATGTTAGATATGTTTGGATTTAAATCTGCTCTGGTACAATTTGCTTTCTGTTGTCTCACTTGTTCTATATTCCCGTTTCTCTTCACTTTTGCTTTCTTTTGGGCTAATCAAGATTTGCCAATTCATCATTCCCCTTTGTAAGCTTATTAGTTACCCATTCTTTTAAGTTCTTTTTGTGATTCCAGCATACCTTGTTGACCCGTCTCAAATAATTCCTTTAATAATTCTTAGAAATGCAAAAACTTAAGAACAGTTTAACTCCATTTACCCCTGTTGTGTTTCTTTCCGTTTTTTTCTGTGTGTAATGTTTATAAACCTGTAAGACATAATTGTAGCTGTTCTGTTCACTTGGTGTGCACTTATTTCCCACGTACTGTCTTTTCTGCTGCTGCTTATTGCTTTCTTCATTTTCATGATTCTGCCTAGCTCCACATTCCTTATTCCTAGAGAATTTCCTTTACAATAGCATGTGTTTTCTGAGCTTTTGCTGCACTAAACGTCTTTATTTTGCCTTCATCTTAAGCATATCTTTTCTAAGTATAGAATATTAGCTCTCATTTTTTCCAGCACTTTCTAGGTGGCTTTGTAAAGTTTCTAAACTATATTCCTTTGTTTCTTTAAATAATTATGAAACTCAGCTCTCAGTCTTATCATTCCTCAGAAACCACTATCTCTTCCTACACCTTACAACATTAGCAATTTTATTATATATACACCTAGGTGTGCACTACTTTTAGGTTTTTTTCCTACATGGAGTTTGTATTGATTGTTAAATGTGTTTCTTGTCACTTTGGGAAATCCCTTGCCAATGACCTTTTCAATTATTTTTACCCCATTGTCTCTTAACACTCACTTGTAGGACTCTAACTCATGCATGATACAAGTTTTGCCCATGGTTCTTATGATTCAGTTTTCTACTCTTTCCATCTTTTTTCTTCCTCTCTTCTTGCTTCAGTCGGTTGGTTTTACTGATTTTTCTTCTGGAATATCAATCTTCTCAACAGCTACTTCTAATCTACTGCTAAACATTTCTATTGTATTGTGTAATTTCAGTTACTATATTCTTAGTCCTAGATTTTTCCATTTGATTCCTTTTTTTATAGATTTCAGTTTTCTATAATAATTCCCTATGTTTTCATCTGTTTTCTTAATTATTAACCATGGCTGTTTAGAAATCTGAATTACCTGGAGATTTCTGTTTTGGGGATCCCCTCACCCCACCCTTTTAACTGAATACTTCACCCTGTGTAGAAAAACTAATGGGTGCTTTCTTGGGGTTATCTTCTGCCAGAGGAGATCCCATAAGGTTTAACAGACATAGTAAGTACACATCCCCTTAATCCAATTGGAGATTGATCTTATTTTA